GCACACACACACACACACACACACACACACACACACACACACACACACACACAGGATGCAAGCAAGAGCACACACTCACTGCCTTATTTGGTAAAATGGTATACATCATTCAGAAAAGAGACATTCAGGATTGGTAGAAGCGTGTGAATATACAGCCATTAGCTGAGTGGGTGGGACAATCTAGAAATCTGTTCCTGTCAGGAAAATGTTGTGACACTTTAGTAATGACAAGGTTTCTATGACAACAGTGCCTGTAAGACTGCAAACTGCAAAGCCTTGTTGTTATTGGCAAATTAATGCAGCAATGCATTATGGTCCACAGAGGTTAAGCATTCATTTGGGTTAGAAGCTGATTATATGATTAAGTTATATAGCCATTTCTCTCTAATCACATCCGTGACCCTGTACACCCATTTCAAAACAATTTCAAAAGGACTGTATAATCCATAGACTGTACACATGGTGTTTTCTATTAACTTCAGACACAGCAGAGTAAAAATGTATACATTTACATGCATCTGATTTATTCAAGCAAATTGCAAGTGCACTCACTTGGGTCAGACAGCATGGAATCAGTCTTGGGCAGGAACTGGTCACAGCGAATGCCCTGGAAACCCTCTTTACACCTGATTTTTTAAAAAAAGAAAAAGAAAGACAGTTAGTAAGCAGTTTAATAGATGCTTTTATCTAAAGCAATGTATTTTAGGGACAATCTCCATGGGGTTAAGAACTGTACTTGGCTTGTTCCTTGTGGGAATAAAGGCAAAAAAAAGCAACTTTTTGGCTATTCTGGTGAAATAATGAGTATTTTAACATTTCTGGACTGGCACTATTACTTCCATTGCAAGCTGTGTTGTTATTGATAGATAACTAAATCTAAAAATTTTAATTATTATTTAAAATAAAGCGGAAATAAAATAAAATAAAAAATAATTGTCAAACAAAAATCTTAAACTAAAAATTAGAAATGTTGCCTTGGCAACTATGTGAAGTTGAAGTACTAAAATTACTAAAACTGAACTGAAATAAAAATAAAAAGCTGAAAATAATTAAAATGACAAAAGCTTAAATTTAAAATGAAAACTATAAAAATCAAAGCTATTTTAAAATATAAATAAATACTATGACAGTATATGAATAATATTAAAATAACACCTAACTGTAATCAAGGCAACTGGAAATTAATTTTTGTGGTAATCAACACTGCCACAAGTGTTATTGATTTAGCTTAACTTAAATTGAACCTGGAATATTACTTTAAACCCCTTGGTCACTCCACCACTCTAATTAAAACACTTTCAGGGGCCAGACTGGTCCCTGTGCATTTGATAACAATGAAACTTCTAGATGTTTGAAGTTCGAAAACGTTCGAGGGTTTTCTGGAAATCAGATGGGAAACCCAAACGTGCCATGTCATGCATCTGTTGCAGATGGCAGTAGATTGATTTGGAAGTACATGGGCACAGCGAGTTTGCTGATTTTCTACCTCAGCAAAGCCCTGACTGCTTGAATAAGCTCTCTCGGTGTTCACTAAATATGGAAATGAAATGCTTGTCTTTTATATATGAAATATGTATGCCATGTCCCTCCCAGCCAAGCTGTTTGCTCTCTCTCCAGCTCTCTTGCTCATGTAACTGCCCATGTGTTTCTGCCTGTCTCGCTCTTCCTCACCCTCTCTCCATCCTGTCATCACTTTATCCTCATTTTTCCCTCACTTCTTGACTTTTCAAAGACACTGGAGGCTAATCCCGCTTTCAGCTGGTTGAGTCAGGAGAGCAATGTGACAAAGAAAAATGTCCCTGGCTCTAAATGGCAGAGTACAAACAGAGCATATGCATATGCCATGCGCACGAGCCTCAGCAGATAGCATAAGCCTTTGTTGGTTATACAGCACATTTCATCCTTTTACAGAGGATCAGGAGCTCAATTTAATGCTGCATATTGCTTAGGCTGTACGTTTCCAAGTTTCCAACTGAAAAATAAATACATTTTAAAGACCCAATCTTTTCTTTTTTATATTATATGCAACATAAATAAATATTGCACATTTGCTTGCATCAGCAGCTTTCTCTGAGCTATTTATAGTTACCATATGATATTGCTTACTTTTCATGTCATTTTCACACCTGTAGATTATTTGTTTTGTTCTGAAACAAGGATATATAAATACATACTACATAAAATATATAAATATATATATATAATATATAAACACAGAGCGAGAATGAAGGCTTCATCTGGACAGCATTCTTACAATGCATCTGTTTCGAGGAAAAGCCACGAGAAGAGCTACTCTTTGGTTTTCAACTGAAATAAGAAATGTGCTCACCCACATTATGAATTATAATATAGCTTGGTTCATTGGTCCATTGGGTCAGATTGCTTTCTTACCACAAGCAACCGCTTTAGAGTTAGTTTTCAATTGGGCTGAGACTACCTCAATCAGGCAGTCTTGGGCCGATTATTTTGGTTTGAATCCGAGTGTGATTGCTGTGTTCATATATGCCAAAATTAATTGAACCAAGGGAGAAATGTGCCAGGTTCAGAAACAAATGCTAGAACCAAGCCAGGTGTGAAAATGCCCTTAGACAATATGTTTTTGCTTCGCCAACAACAATAGTTTGAAAGTCTTAGTAGACTCATTGCATCATAAACAGTATTTTGTCCCAAAATAAATCAGTGTTTTGAATAAATTGGTTGAATGAATGATTGAATGATTCGTGGCCTAATGGTTAGAGAGTCGGACTCGTAACCCAAAGGTTGCGGGTTCGAGTCTGTGGGGGGAGTGAATGTACAGCGCTCTCTCTCACCTTCAATACCACGACTGAGGTGTCCTTGAGCAAGGCACCGAACCCCCACTGCTCCCCGGGCGCCGCAGCATAAATGGCTGCCCACTGCTCCGGGTGTGTGTTCACGGTGTGTGTGTGTTCACTGCTGTGTGTGTGCACTTTGGATGGGATAAATGCAGAGCACTAATTCCAAGTATGGGTCACCATACTTGGCCACATGTCACGTCACTTTAAAGACCGTTGCTTGTATTCTTCTAGAATGATTCCGTTTTTTTTTCAATGAGTCAGTTGAACGAATTATTTAATTTGTTTAAAGACAGGCACTTGTCGCCACCTACTGGCATAACGATAATCTGTAATCTGCAGGATTCATTCTTAACACTTATGGACAGATGGACAGTCTGTCAAGTACCTCGCAAACACAACAAGCAGAGTGATAAAAACAATGAAAGTCCCAGTTCTGGCTAACTACATTGTATAATTCACTACATTTCCCAAGCCTCGAGTTCTTTGAAGTGAACTGTTTCCAGTGTAACTGTCTTTCTTTTTGTCATGTACAAAATAAGCACTGTTACAAATGTGTTGCTGTGTTCATGAAACAGACTTACTTTTTGTATCATTCCGTTTTTTCCTTATTACCAGAAGAACCACAGAAAACTGATGAAATTGAATAATTTTGAATACATTTGAATTAATTGTCTTTTCCCAGTCAAAACCCAAAATCCTAAGCGTACGAACAGCAACAAGTATTCATTGGGCCTCATTCATGAAACACAAGCAGAACAAATTTCTATGTAAATTGTTCATAAAACCATTCTTACGTAAACTGTTAACGTGGCAATTTACATAAGCATGATTTTACGAATGATTTACACAGAAATGATAATAGACAGTGTCTACTATAAATAGCATCACAGTGATATAATTTTTTACACCCTTGTCCAATCTGATGTTAACAATTATCACTCCTCGCTCTATACTAGAAATCAGCATACGACTAATTGAATGTAACTGTCATATGTGTCGCTAGTAAAGATTTTACACTAATTGCACAGAGGGAGCTATAGAGGGCTATGAGTCAGTAATGAAATCAGCACCGCAAATGCTTTACATAGCGCATAGGTCATGCCTGAAGGATTTGTGGTCAATTAATCTCTCCACAATTAATGTGTCCGCAGGCAAGTGGTGCTGATAAAGATCTGTGAGATAAGAAAGTAGTGCAGTACAAATTTACAGAAGGAGGATCATTAAAAGAGAGATCAAGTGCTATGGCTGCATTGTGAGGAACAGTCATTATGGGCACAGTATGTGGCAATTGGCAAACAGTGGCAATTAAAATGTGGGGAGTGGATGGAAAGAGGTGGAGGTGTGGAACTGTACCCAAGAGACCACATTTGGGCTGCTTGCCTCTTTTTATCTCGCCCCGCACACACATTTTGTTCACAGGCTTGATTTATGTGGAAAGATGATACATGTTTAGCCCAGTAGGAGGCATCCTGTTGCTCAGCATACGGCCGAAGCAGAGGGCTTTTCTTTCATACAAAGCATTTTTTCTCACTTGTGCACATGGCATAGTGTTTCGGTTCTATCAACATGAAATACTGAAACGCGTCTCGGACGGGTGTGACGATGTCTTTTAATTGACTAGGCTACAGTTATTTCTAATCTTAATTCTTTTTTCTTTACTCCATGAGGCCTTGTCATGTTACAGGACCCCCTGTGTGAAATCTTTCATTTCTTCTTCATAATATAGGTCTATATATAACATACGTGTCTTCTTGTCACTTTCATGCTCCTCCCAACCCTATGATTTTCCTTGGAAATTTTGCAATCGAATATTCATTAGTCTCGGAGACCTGTGAATGAAAATGTTAATATTTCTCACAGACCCAGAATGTATTGAGTGTTGCCTGGCTTTTAATTAGCACCACACTCATTAATTAGCAGGAACAAATGGGGGAGGGGGATGGGATGCTGGAAGGAGGTGTAGATCATTCTAACTAAGAGGCAGCTTTACAGGCACAGATAAATATAAATACCAAGCCTCCAGCTGTCAGATTCTTGCTGAATGTGAGAAGAACATGCACATTTAACTATGCACTGCTAATGATCAGGCTTCGGTGTGTTTATCACAACCAGAAAACCATGTGAACCCATTTATGGAGTTCATAATTTCATAATGGGAAACGTAACAGACAACAGTACAGAAGCAGCATGCATAAATACCAATTAAAGCAACCTGATAGTTTATCATGAGAACCTTTAATTAAAAGGAATGAGATCTGGAGTATGTTCCCAGGCTACTCACACGGGCATTTTGAGATTTAGAGCAAGTTACTGTGTTTAATCATGTTATGTTTACTCTGGCTTCTCAGCTGTTCTGTTTATATGTTGGAATTCATCTCTGTTAGTCTAAACAGAAGTAAATCATAACCTTAGCCAGCATGGACATTTGACATTTACGATTTGTTTCAATTGCTGTATATGCATTTATGCCACAAATTGTTCACACGAAGCTGTAATTCCATCAGAGACAGGAAGCATCCAAATGACCTGTATATATTTACATTAACGGTCTTTTTGCAGGTTACATTGTTAAGCCAGTAGGTTGTCTTTATGAATCAGTTATACATTCTTTCACACTTGATAATACATTAAAAAACGAAACAAGCAACTGTCTTCATAAATGAGCCACTGAATTATTGATTCAACCAATTAGTTCAAAAACGATAATTCAGCCAGGAACAAAACAAGGGACAGTGTTTACGAGTAAGTCAATGATTCATTATCTTAACAGATTTGTTCAAAACACTGATTCATTATGGAACACACCACCA